AAAAAAAAAAAAAAAAAAAAAAAAAAAATATATCAAACCCTTCAGGGCCAGGGATTTAGCTCAGTGGTTCTGGTGCCTGCCTCACAAGCACAGGGACCGGAGTTTGATCTCCAGTACCGAAAAAAGATAGATATATAGATATAGCTATATATCTATATATCTCCTGTGTTTCAATGCAGTGCTAGTCAAAATGCAAGCAGGCTTTTCATGTGGAAAGGTAAAGGACCTAGAATAGCCAAAACAAATCTGGAAAAGAATAAAGGAATAAAGTTAGAAGGTTAACACTACCTGACATCAAAAACTATTATAAAGCAACAGTAAAGATATTGGTATAAAGATAGACTAATAGCTTAGTAGAACAAAATAAAGGACATAGAAACAGACCCATATGTATATGGACATCTGATTATTGTCAAAGATACAAAGGAGTGCAGTGGAAAAACAGTCTTTCAACAAATGGTGTTGGGACACTTACATATTTATATACTGACCCCCCAAAAAAGAACTTGGATCCACTTCTTGCAACATATAAAAAAATCAACTTAAAAAGGACCATATATTTTTAAACTACAAAATGTCTAGAAGAAAGCATAAGAGAAAATATATATGACCCTGGGTTAGTCAGAGATTAGTTATAAACAACACAAAAAAGTGCAATCCATAAAAGAACAGGTTGATAATTTTGAACTTTGGTTTTCAGAAGACACTAGAGAATGAAAAGACTAAACCACGGACTAGGAAGGAATCTTTAGGGGATTTAAAGCTTTAACTGTATTGTTTGAATTTTGTTTAACACAAGTGCACCCACATATTAACTGTTGTTTTTTTAAGTCTAGATTACAACTGAGCTCTGATGTCTGTTGATTCCAAATCTTCTGTAAAGCTCTAGGAGTTGTAATATTTTTGCAGTAGGTACTTTGTTTTCACGCTCTAAAAATGTTACTTTACATAAATTGAAACTTTTTTCTTTCTGAGAATTTCTAAAGGGCTGAGTCTGGAAAAGACCTGGGTTGTAACATGTGTTTAACATTCCATCTTCAGTTCTGTCTCAAAATATTACTTGGTAGAACACTTTTTCTAGACTAATGACTTCTTTTTTCTTGGCCTCCAGCCGGTTAGAATGTGGCCTCTATTACCAGATATTTGGCTTTCTGCTTTCTATGATTAAAAGTTGAAGATGTAGTTGTTATAGCCACATCATTTCTCTTGTCTAGTTTAAAATTTCTATAATCAGTATTGAAAACTCGTTTGAACACACACACACACACACACGTGAATCTTCATTTCATTAAGCGCTGAGGAACGATTTCAGTCCATCTGCCTCCCACAGGACAGACAGGGCAGTCAGGCGGAAGGGCTTAGACCTTCTCTACAGGAATTCTGACAGAATGCTTCCTGGCTGGGGCCCAGAAACTGAGTCATGGAGAAACCCGAGTGTAAAATAAACCTTCAGGCTAATGAGAAATGGTACTTCTGAAAGGACTCAGTCACAGATGAGAGATTTGAATGAGATCTGGGGTCACCTAAATTCTTCCCCTCAGATGCCATTCAGTCCCTTACTTGGAACATCCTGGGAGTCCCTGAGGTTAGGGACAAGACCGTATTCTTTCTGGCCTTGAGCAACCCACACCTAAATAGTGGGGTGGAGCCTAGGAACAGATTCAATCCCAGCAGGACAGATCCTTACTTGGACTACCCAGGTCAAGTGGGGATCGCTCACTTTAGGAAAATGGCAAAGACCACAGAGGGAGAGGACAGCTGAGCTCAGCCTCACAGGTGGGAATTCTGGTGAAAAAAACAGTATCTGTGAGTATTTCTGGGCTTTTGTCCTGAGAAACCAAGTCATTTTTGTCTCTAGACTGAAGGGACAAGTTTGCAGTACAAACGAGAAATAAGTCATTTTGACAAATTTCAAAGAACCCCACTTTTTACTTTTATTCACAAACAGGTGAGCAAGAAATATCACATTTCTTTATCGCCTTTAAATCAAGCTAGTGTTGACTTGAGCCCCCTTTCTCCCCATAGGTTGGTGAAATAGCTCAGTCATGCTAGGCCTCCAGGACTGATGCCAAGGTTTAGATACCAGCCATGGCCTAGACGCTAGCCAGGTTCTTGGCTCTCCTTTGCCCAGGCCTGCCTTGCTGCTTCCCTGGGCTTAGGCCAGGGCTCTGTACCTCTCTTCTCCTGAAAGTCTACAATTGCTCCTGGAAACCAGCCCTTCCACAGCTGTGCCTGACCTTTGTGACTACAGACTTCTGTGAACTTCCAGAAGTTCAGAGTCCTGCTGTGTGTGTGTGTGTGTGTGTGTGTGTGTGTGTGTGTGTGTGTGTTATGATAGAATCTTTGTGCTGAGCTGCTTCCCCAGCCCTTCTTTTTATTTTTCAGTTTGAGACAGGGTCTTGCTAAATTGCCCAGCCTGGGCTCAAAATTGTGATTCTCCTGCCTCAGATTCCCAAAATACTAGAATTACAATTATGGAGAGTTTTGTCTTCTAATTTGGGATCCCCTCTTCACCCTAAGAAAGTCACTTTTATCTTTCTCTTTGTAACATAGGCTGGCCATATAATGTGTCGACTGATTCCTGGCCAGTTGTATTTCAGCTCCATTTCCTGCCTTTGAGAGTCTGTGGATCTCTCTCCACTTCTTTCTGCATTCCCCATGGCCTATCTGAAGGACACATTCTTGGCACATTGATTCCCCTCTCAGAGTCCCATAGTCTCCCTGGCTTTGCCTGACAGGTACCAAAATGAGCCAAGTGAGTGCCCAGTTAACTCCCACTAGTAAGGGCCACTGTCTGGGTGGCATCTTGCACTAAGATGAGATAAATGTTTTGTTATGTTTATTTTACCAGCATTTTTCACAAATGACAGAAAAAGTACCGGCTTTACATAGTGGTCTTAGACGAGATGTTGTATGCAGGATACAAAGCCTGGCGTCCCATAATAGTTCAGTAAACATGCCCACATTGTCTCTTAAGTCTTCAATTGCAATCCTCCAGTTGCTTACTGGAAACTCACTTGAAATGTGTGCAATCTTTACATCACTTTGGGGCAAACAAGCAAGAGGTGCCTGGCAGCAGGTCACAGGACAGTGCTTTTTCTCTCTGACACAACGTGCACTATGAGACAAGATAGGCCATTGTAGCACCAAGTAGGGAAGTGGAAAGCAGGGTGCAGAAATGTAGCACCTAAATAAGGATTTAGAAACTCTACCAGTCTGACAATGTCACACAAATACAATAAAAAGTTTGTATTATGCATGTTTTTATTATGGATGATTATTTTTATGTTTCTCTAATAACATTTTTATTTTATTTTATAAAAGCATTTATCTACTGCTCCTTTACCATAGTTAGTCTGCAAAACCCTGTGCTAATGTGTGCTACAATGACAAAATCCATTTCTAAATTTTGGTGGCTTGGCCAACAAAGCCTGTTTCCTTCTTCAACTCCCATGACAGTCTGCCTGGTAGCTCTTCCCAGGTGTGGACCCTGATTTCTTGGGTTGCTTCTCAGGCGGTGGTAGACCGCTGCTTCTCTGGCCTGCTGCTTGGTGTGCCAGGACCAGATTGACCTGAGAGCACTAGGGAGGCTGGAAAATGCAGCAGGGCAAGTGGAAGTGTCCAAGAGGGCACCCATGTTGGTCTGCCACGTAGATGTTTGGCTGGGCTCTCTGCGATCCAGGTTTCTAGAAATGAGCTGGTCTTTGCTGTCACCGACTGTCTGAGTCATAGAACAAAATGTCCATCTTTGGCCTTAGTCCTCTCTCCTTTGTAGTCCCATCTCCTGCAGAGCTGCTGTCAGCCCCAGCCTCCCAGCTCTCTCTCCTGCAGCACAAGGATGTACTGCCTTTCCTTGGTGCCCAGGAAACTGCTCACACCGTTAAGCCAAACT